ATCTGCTGGAATTCTACCCTGAAAGCATCCTGTTCTTGTGACGCTGTGTGGTGGCGCCCTGCTCTAGTTTTCAAATTATATATGTTATGAAACCGACTCAGCGAACTCTGTGTAATTCTGCGAGAGAGTCATCCCCTATGAGAGAGTCACCCCCTGTGAGAGAGCCATCCCCTGTGAGAGAGTCACTCCCCGTGAGAGAGTCATCCCCTGTGAGAGAGTCATCCCCTGTGAGAGAGTCATTCCCTGTGAGAGAGTCACCCCCTGTGAGAGAGTCATCCCCTGTGAGAGAGTCACCCCTTGTGAGAGAGTCACCCCCTGTGAGAGAGTCACCCCCTGTGAGAGAGTCACCCCCTGTGCGAGAGTCACCCCCTGTGGGAGAGTCACCCCTGTAGTGAGAGAGTCATCCCCTGTGAGCGAGTCATCCTCTGTGAGAGAGTCATCCCCTGTGAGAGAGTCACCCCCTGTGAGAGAGTCATCCCCTGTGAGAGAGTCACCCCTTGTGAGAGAGTCACCCCCTGTGAGAGAGTCACCCCCTGTGAGAGAGTCACCCCCTGTGAGAGAGTCACCCCCTGTGAGAGAGTCACCCCTGTGAGAGAGTCTCCCGGTGCGGCCCGCACCCACGTAACCCTAATGACACCTGAGCCCTGTCGCTACGCTTGGTTACGTCTACTTCGATCTTACCTGTAAGGCTGACACAAGGTGCGAGCTCAGATTTGCTGGTGGCGTGCAAGGGGTGGGGTGGTGGTGGGTGGATGGGAAGAGATGGGGAAGGCAGAAAATGTGATTTTAATTTTTTTAATGAATGTATTCAAGCTCGTTTTACAAAAATTACTTTCAATTGTATTATTTTTTCATTATTTTAATCAAGCATATTTGAAAATAATTTTCCAAATAGATGATTGAGTTTTCGCGAATGCTATCGTCCTGTCACATGATCACATGTGTGTTATGTCCTGTCACATGATCACATGTGTGTTATGTCCTGTCATATGATCACATGTGTGTTATGTCCTGTCATATGATCACATGTGTGTTATGTCATGACATATGATCACATGTGTGTTATGTCCTGTCATATGATCACATGTGTGTTATGTCCTGTCATATGATCACATGTGTGTTATGTCCTGTCATATGATCACATGTGTGTTATGTCCTGTCATATGATCACATGTGTGTTATGTCCTGTCACGTGATCACATGTGTGTTATGTCCTGTCATATGATAACATGTGTGTTATGTCCTGTCATATGATCACATGTGTGTTATGTCCTGTCATATGATCACATGTGTGTTATGTCCTGTCATGTGATCACATGTGTGTTATGTCCTGTCACATGATCACATGTGTGTTATGTCCTGTCACATGATCACATGTGTGTTATGTCCTGTCATATGATCACATGTGCGTTATGTCATGTCATATGATCACATGTGTGTTATGTCTTGTCATATGATCACATGTGTGTTATGTCATGTCATATGATCACATGTGTGTTATGTCCAGTCATATGATCACATGTGTGTTATGTCCTGTCATATGATCACATGTGTGTTATGTCCTGTCACGTGATCACATGTGTGTTATGTCCTGTCATATGATCACATGTGTGTTATGTCCTGTCATATGATCACATGTGTGTTATTTCCTGTCATATGATCACATGTGTGTTATTTCCTGTCATATGATCACACGTGTGTTATGTCCTGTCATATGATCACACGTGTGTTATGTCCTGTCATATGATCACGTGTTATATGTCCTGTCATATGATCACATGTGAGTAATGTCCTGTCATATGATCACACGTGTGTTATGTCCTGTCATATGATCACATGTGTGTTATGTCCTGTCATATGATCACATGTGTGTTATGTCATGTCATATGATCACATGTGTGTTATGTCATGTCATATGATCACATGTGTGTTATGTCCTGTCATATGATCACATGTGTGTTATGTCCTGTCATATGATCACACGTGTGTTATGTCCTGTCATATGATCACATGTGTGTTATGTCCTGTCATATGATCACATGTGTGTTATGTCCTGTCATATGATCACACGTGTGTTATGTCATGTCATATGATCACATGTGTGTTATGTCCTGTCATATGATCACACGTGTGTTATGTCCTGTCATATGATCACATGTGTGTTATGTCCTTTCATATGATCACATGTAAGTTATGTCCTGTCATATGATCACATGTGTGTTATGTCCTGTCATATGATCACATATGTGTTATGTCCTGTCATATGATCACACGTGTGTTATGTCCTGTCATATGATCACATGTGAGTTATGTCCTGTCATATGATCACACGTGTGTTATGTCCTGTCATATGATCACATGTGTGTTATGTCATGTCATATGATCACATGTGTGTTATGTCCTGTCATATGATCACATGTGTGTTATGTCATGTCATATGATCACATGTGTGTTATTTCCTGTCATATGATCACATGTGTGTTATGTCATGTCATATGATCACATGTGTGTTATGTCCTGTCATATGATCACACGTGTGTTATGCCCTGTCATATGATCACATGTGTGTTATGTCATGTCATATGATCACATGTGTGTTATTTCCTGTCATATGATCACATGTGTGTTATGCCCTGTCATATGATCACACGTGTGTTATGTCCTGTCATATGATCACACGTGTGTTATGTCCTGTCATATGATCACATGTGTGTTATGTCCTGTCATATGATCACATGTGTGTTATGTCATGTCATATGATCACATGTGTGTTATGCACTGTCATATGATCACACGTGTGTTATGTCCTGTCATATGATCACACGTGTGTTATGTCCTGTCAAATGATCACATGTGTGTTATGTCATGTCATATGATCTCACGTGTGTTATGTCCTTTCATATGATCACATGTGTGTTATGTCCTATCATATGATCACATGTGTGTTATGTCATGTCATATGATCACATGTGTGTTATGTCCTGTCATATGATCACATGTGTGTTATGTCCTGTCACGTGATCACATGTGTGTTATGTCCTGTCATATGATCACTACACACAATACAGGACAGTCGTGATCACATGTGTGTTATGTCCTGTCATATGATCACATGTGTGTTATGTCCTGTCATATGATCACATGTGTGTTATTTCCTGTCATATGATCACATGTGTGTTATGTCCTGTCACATGATCACATGTGTGTTATGTCCTGTCATATGATCACATGTGCGTTATGTCCTGTCATATGATCACATGTGTGTTATGTCCTGTCATATGATCACATGTGTGTTATGTCCTGTCATATGATCACATGTGTGTTATGTCGTGTCATATGATCACATGTGTGTTATGTCGTGTCATATGATCACATGTTTGTTATGTCATGTCAAATGGGCTTGCATAGGGTGCGCCTGGTTGTTAAATAAATGAGCGTTGAAAATAAACTCCCACATCAATGTGTAGAAAAAAATCTATGGAAAAGTTGATGTTTAGAATAGATATATGGAGACAGTGATTTGTATAATAAATATATGGAGACCAGTATGTGTGGAATAAATATATAGAGACAGTGATGTTTAGATTAGATATATGGAGACATTGATGTGTAGAATAAATGTATGGAGACATTAATGTGTATATTAAATATATGGAGACAGATGTGTTTAGAATATATATATATGGAGACATTGATGTGTAGAATATATATATTGGAGACAGTGATATTTAGAATAAATATATGTAGACATTAATGTGTAGATTAAATATATGGAGACAGTGGTGTTTAGAATATATATATGGAGACGGTGATGTGTAAAATAAATTTATGGAGACAGTTATGTGTATAATAAATATATGGAGACAGTAATGTGTAGAATAAATATATGGAGATATATGGAGAGATTACAGGGTAGGGGAAGAGAGATGAGATGGTATGGGAAAAGAGATGATGGGGTAGGGGAGGAGAGATGATGGAGTAGGGGAGGAAATGTCGTTGTAGACTGTTGGACACGATGTAAAGCTCGCATTGATCAGCCAATTCCTTTCATGGTGTAGCATAAATATATGGAGGCAATGATGTTTTAAATAAAGATAAGGATACATTGATGTGAGGAATAAATATATGGATACATTTTGGTCAAGATTAAATATATGGAGACATTGCTTGTTGCCGAAAAAAATATTTATAATATTCACTGTATATAAAAAAGAAAATTTAAAAACAAATATATAAAAAAAAAATTTAAGTCCTTAACCTTTTCCGCTTTTTAGGGAGTCTATATAATAGAAATCACTCAAACCCTTTTTTTTTTATTTATTAGACCCCCACCGAAACAGCCCACCATATAAAATTCCAAATCAAATTCTAAAAAGTACACAGTAAATTTATAGTCAACCTTTCAGATAGCGATAAAATCAATTATTGTTGCTATCTATTCCAGTAACCATTTGTTGAGGCTTATGCAAACCTTTATTTTTAAGAGAGCTTCTGGTATGTGCTAGATCTATCAGAGGTTTAATGGTCTACTGGTTAGTACAAGATCTGCTCGAGGTTAAATGATCAACTGGTTTGCAAAAGATCTACTTGAGGTTAAATGATCTATTTTTGTGCGCAAGATCTACTAGGCCTTAAATGATCTAATAGAGGTTCAGTGAATTGAGCATAGGAAAGATTGTTAATAGTTTTTCCTATTTCCTGGTGCTCCTGTTAGAAAGTCACCATTTAAAAATCCAGATCCTTAGCAGCGACAATTTCAATTCACTTGAAACTCGGAGCTATAGAGTTTTTTGTTGTTGTTTAAAGTGAACCGTATTTTATAATAAACATCTATGGGCCCCCAAACACATCTTCTCCTGTTACCCTGACAGCTTCGCCTCTGGGTCGACCTGTTATTCCTGCCACCCGCCTTTGCAGCTACACCTTTCAGTGAAAAAACTAATCTCTGATCACCCGCCACTTATTTAAAATACAACCACTGAAGACGCACTCGACTGACCCGTTCAGCGACGTCAGTTAGAGGACCCCTGATCAGTGTGACACATGTGACCTACTTTTGCGAGGACTCTACACCCCAACACCGATGCACCAACCAGGATATCACGTTGTTGGTTTTCCAGTTGTATATTTTTTTATTTTTCTTCACACGGTATCTTTAACGCAAAACACAAAACAAAAGAAACGTGTCCAGGTTGTAAAAGACGCGGTGTCTTGTCGGGCGTCCCTGTTTGAACGCTCAACGATTTTGACAGTGTTGTGTTGTTGGTGAGACTGACGGATTCTCACGACTGTTTGTCGTCGGCTCGGGGGACTGTTGTTAATCTGTTGAGCCGTTCAAGTAACAGCAGGTAGGTTAAACTTTGTGTAACACAGTGTTGTTGAGCCTCGTGTTAAATAATTTAGTTCCGTAGTTCAATTTTGGGTGTTAATTTCATTAAGTCTGATGTAATTCTTGTGAGTAGTTTAATGCATTATAATGCTAAAATTGATGTTCATATGAGAGTGTGAAATGCCATGTTACATACTATATTGTGAACTTCTATATTTATAATTAAAGTTTAGGTTGTTATTAGGCTGTTCGTTTTTTTTTTTAAAGTTCATGTCATGCAATGAGTAGAGTGGGACAGCGTTTAACTTGATGTCATTAGTCTTAAATTTGACATCATGCACTTGAATGTTGAAGTTGATGGTATGTCCTCCATCAGTGTTCAAGTTTTGATGTTAACAAGGTATTCGATTTGATGCCATGAAATGTTAGAGATTGCTAAGAAGAATGTCTTCTTCTTCTTCGTCTATATATTAAGGGCCCACGATTAATTTATTGATCATTTTGGCTCCTATGCATGTAGGGGGGATTTGCAATGTTTCTGTGCCTGGTGATTATGAGGATATTTCACTGATTGCAATTGCTTCTTTGTGAGGGAATCATGCACTGGGGGTTGGAAGGCTTGAGGCAATAGACTCAAATGTGTCTAATGTTTTCGCCTCAACTGTTCCCTTTGAAAGCTTGTTCCAGTCCCTGATTGTCTTGGGCAGGAATGAGCAGCTCCTCTACTGGGTTCTTGTTGGTATGAATCGGAATTGCCTGTCATGGCCTCGTCGCTGTCTATGGGGGAGAGGGACGAGTCTCTGTTTAATACTGGAACAGTGGACCAGCCCATTATTAATTTGGACATTATGTCATATCATAAAGTGTTTAAGTAAATGTCATTTTATTAGAACGTACAAATGGATGACCTGAAACTCAATACGCTAGTGTTAGAGATGGCTAAAACCTACAAATAATTGATGTACATGTTTTTATGCTTGACTCTAATTTATGTGCACTTAAACTGCAAAGCTCGTCAATATATGACGTAATGAGTATGTACACCATCACACTCTCAAATCAGCATCGCCTTTTATACAAAACTATGAAACTGTATATGTCATCACATTATATACTAAACTATGACACTCTATATATGTCATTATCTTATATACTTTACTATGAAACTCTTTATATATCGTCACATAATATACATAACTATGAAACTCCATAAATGTCACCTTTAGGCCCATTGGCACAGTGTCCTGTTTCGATATCACGGGAGAGGCGGGGACAGTGAGGGAAGAGATGGAATTGAGGAAGGGGGGGGTGAAGAGATCAGCGGGTAAGGGAGGAGAGATGAGCGGGTAGGGTAGGAGAGATCAGAGAGTAAGGGAGGAGACATGAGAACATTGTGTAGGAGAGATGAGAATGTGATGTAGGAGAGAGGAGAGGATAGTGTAGGAGAAAAGATGAGTGGATGGGGAGGAGAGATGAGAGGAGAGATACGGGGGTATGAGAGGAGAGATTAGAGAGTATGGCAGTAGAGGTGATGGGGTAGGGGAGGAAATGGCGCTGTGGACTGTTGGACACGATGTTAAGCTCGCATTGATCAGCCAATTCCTTTCAAAGTATATTAACCTACAGGATGAATCTTCAGAAAATAGTTCTCTTTCGGCCTGACATGGGTTACGATAAAAAGCCTACCTGAGTTTGATGCATTAGTTCACCCAGAGGCGTATGTTGGATTAGTTCATCCAGAGGCACGTGGTAGATTAGTTTAACCAGAGGCGTATGTCAAAGTGAAGAAAGAGGGAGAGGCAGTGCGATTAAACGGACAAATATTCCCCATGTCAAACTTAGTGAGCGGTCTATGATAAAGAGAGAGGCGATCCTCCCCATTTCCATTGATGTAAACGCCACTGCATTCACCTCGGAGGGCTTTTAGTTCACAGTCTTATAATTTATGGACCTGGGGGGGGGGGAAGGACCAATAAAAGCTTCTGTCTAAGACCCAAGACGTTAAACATAGACCTTCTTATACAACATAACACATTAGGGGGGGTTTTAGTTCACAGTGTTATAAATTATGGGCCTGGGGGGGGGGGGGGAAGGACCAATAAAAGCTTCTGTCTAAGACCCAAGACGTTAAACATAGACCTTCTTATACAACATAACACATTGTAATGCGTTGTGTGTGTCTTAGATACATTGCAAATAAAATCACTTTTTAAAAATCCAATCCAACTTTTCAAATGCGACAAACTCAAATGACGTTCAACATTTAAAGTCTGGCAGAAAAAAATAAAATAAATATCAACCATAGATGCGTATCAAAAATAATAATTACCCAGGTATGGAGGTAAGTATTGGGATGCGCTTTGTCCAATAGCTAAAAAAACTACAATATACCAGGTGTGCACCAAACACCTTGAAAAGATGTGTTATTTATCCGAATGTAAAAGTTATGAAAAAAAAAATATCAATAAAAGTATGTTCTCAGAATTGCATCGTAATCACATTTATCGGAAAAACCCCAACGTCTGTTTATTTTTAGTGCCTGGTTAATAATTACGAAATTAAAAATAAAATTAATTTGATTTAAATAAATACGCAAATGACGTCATAGCATGAATTGTATGTTGTAGACTTGGCTCCAAGTTTCTTTGATTTAATAACCGTGCGTAACAAAGATTATAATGTATTTTCTCCATCTTAAAAGTAAAATTAATAAACATAAATGATTGCTTTTTAAATTGCCCAAGTTTGCGTCGATTAAATACAACTTTAGCTTTGTCTTTTTAACATTTATTTTTTTCCTTCTTTTTATTCATTCCAAAAATAGACGTTTATAAAATGTATTAAGTAGTCAAACGTAATCTTTAAATATATAATTCAATAAGGAAACGCCGTTTGATTCCATCAGTGCAGCGAAACTGTAAAGCCTAGTAGCATTCGCTAATGCACTTGTCGCTCATCCCAATAAGAGCAAAGCACATGAAATGCAAAAAATTGTTTTTGTGTAAGTAAGGGGGTTACGATCCCATGGATGATTTTATTAATTTAAAAAAAAACTTTTTGGTTGGGGGGGGGGGGGGCGGTTATAAATACTTTCATTTGACAAAGACAACACAAGATCCACCCCAGAATGAAATGCAGACATAAAGGATGACTTATAGACAGACTGATGGATTGGATGGCTTGATGGATTGATGGATTGATGAATGGATAAATGGATGGATGGATGGATAGACAGACTGACAGACTGACAGGACAGACATGACAGACAGACAGACAGACAGACAGACAGACAGACATAGCTTGACAGACAGACAAACAGACAGAATGCTTCCTTTAGTAGTTGCGCCAAAGACATCTTTTATTTGATAAACTATATCCATTTACTGTATATTAAAAATAATTATGTATGTTTAAATTCGGGCTTCTATACCATTCATCCGATAGCGATAAAACTCCCCCCCCCCTTTTTTATGAGCTAAATATAATTTCCGTATGCATTCCTATATCACTTATCGAATTGCAATAAAAATTTGGTAAGTCTGTGCGCACGCCCGCAAAGGTTTCCGAATTAGGTTTTCCATTTTCAAATATTTCCCTGGGGGCCCGGGGCCTTAAATTATTTTTTTCTTACATGAGCTACAGCAATATAAATTCAAACAGAGCTGTTGCATGGGTGGATGCAATTGAATCAAATACAAGCGACATTTCAGTTTGTGTGACATAATAAGTAGGTTTCTGAATTAGTGCAACAATTTTACAATTTTGCGTTTGTGGCAGAGGGTCTTATTTTTTTAACATTTTTATTTTATGCCAGCTATATAAATATAATTTCAAACAGAGCTGCTGCATGAGTGGATCGTGTGGACTAATTTAGAAAATCCACGCTTCTCACGTGGACAGCTGTATGTGGCCTGCTCACGTGGACAGCTGTATGTGGCCTGCTCACGTGGACAGCTGTATGTGGCCTGCTCACGTGGACAGCTGTATGTGGCCTGCTCACTTGGACAGCTGTATGGTGCCTGTTAACGCGTCGAAAAACCTTCTAGTTTATTAGTGTACGCACCAGGCGTATTAAGCTCAAATCACGTAAGAAGCTCTGTTAACATCTCGCTAAGAGTGTAAGCATGAACAGAGCACTCATCAATTTCGCTGGGAGAGCAAGGACTCTAGAAAGCATCATAACAATTTCTTCAAAACATATGCACCAACTGGGTGCCGAAAATAATCCTTCAGACAGGGATAGCAATATTCCCGTAGAATAAATCGAAACATGACATAATAGCAATGCTCTAAATGGAATCCAGCGCAGTGGCGTAACCTGACTACAGCCACCCGGGGGGGGGGGATGAGCTCCCAAAATCCCACAAGACACGTAATTAACATAATTTTAAATAAAACAAAAAGAAATATGCTGCCTTATTAGGTTAACCACTTCTCACCCCCCCCCCCATGGCGCCCCTCCTGCACCAGTGATATGGCATCGATTCACTTTCCCCTAATCGCCACGTGACACCATAGATAACCCAATAGCTCCACAACACCCGGGGGGGGGGGATGAGCTCCCAAAATCCCACAAGACACGTAATTAACATAATTTTAAATAAAACAAAAAGAAATATGCTGCCTTATTAGGTTAACCACTTCTCACCCCCCCCCCCATGGCGACGCTACTGCACCAGTGATATGGCATCGATTCACTTTCCCCTAATAGTCACGTGACACCATAGATAACGCAATAGCTGCACAATGTCAATCAATACCAATAAATTGTTGACTTAGTTCAACACGAGGCAGTAGTACAGAATCCCGGAACAGAATGCTTACTTTGAGACTTGAAGCCATTGCCTTCAACGGTAAATCAGTTTGTTAGATATTTTTTTTATCTTGACTTAGTAGTGGACTTTATGGTCAGTGACATGAAACTTGTGGCAATTAAAACCTGCGCCAGAGACAACTAAATTTAGGCGCCCTCTTCCTAAAAAACACATTTTGCATGAAAAGTAACGATCTTAGCGCCCTTTGACGATGGCGCCTGGGGTGCGTGCCTCCTTTAACCCTGTTAGAGTGGCATAACTCATGGTAATATTAGCTACAAGGGGAGGATTTATGAAAGGAAGGTAATTGATAACTATGAAGAGAGACCCAAAGAATATAAAACGATCAGTGAAAAATAGTTCTCTCTCCCTTCATATATATATATATATATATATATATATATTTTTATATATATATATATANTTTTTTTTTTTTTTTGTTTTTTTTATTTTTTACATCACCGATAACTTTCTAAGTTTTTGAATCCAGATTTACTAGTAGACCGTATCTTTTGCCTTCCTGGTGTGTCCTCTCTACTGTAACCGACAGGGAAAACTAAGGCCCCTAACGCCGGGCCATTCAACCGTTGTACCATATCTCACGCCGGGCCATTCAACCGGTATACGGTATCCGGTCGTTATGTTTGTTTTGTCGAGCCGTTCATGTCGGAACATAAAAAAAAAATTATAATAAAAAATTTCGATAGATTTTCCAAAAATCAAAATTAGATTCATGGTTTCTTTAGAGATTTCTACTTCCTTAATCTAACCTGCAACCTCCAACTCCATCTTGAGTGGTATTCGGTGTATTACCGCGGAGCTAAACCCAGTGGCGTAACTAAGCTCTGGCGCCTCCCCAGGGCTGGTCAAGCTTTTTGCCGCCCTCGACCCCATCCTTGAGAAAAAAAAACTTTTCCGTCTGCCAAAAATGCCGCCTATGCATATAAAGCTAAAAGAGCCGCCAGTGGACCGCCCCTCCTCACCCCCCCCTCACCGCCCTGACCTATTCCCCTGACCCCAGCATAAACACCCCTCACGCTCCTAAGGGCAGGCTGAACTGCATTGACTTCATCTAGAGAAAGGAAAACTGATGTTACAGAACCCTATATCAAATCAATGGATTGGCACAGACGATTTACCTTGTCCAACATCTCTGCAACTGTATTGTCATAAGATGGAAGCAAATGAAATGACATCCTGTCGAGTGATCGCGTTTCTAAAATAAAATGCGTAACGTGTTAAACAATTTAAAAAAAAAAAATATTCTTTAAGAAGTTTTAAGCTTTTAATACATTTCTTTAGATCGTGTGAAAATAAAATAAAATAAAATAAATCCCTCAAAAATGTACTTACAATTATTTATTAGATAAATGACATGGATAGTAGCTAGATCTTTGTTGTTGTTTTTTTTTTTTTTTTGAAATGAAGAAGAAAGAAAACAAAAACACTTTTCCTAAAAAAAAATGAAGCTCGACCTGATGAGTTGTTTAGACTTACAATGACGAATACAAACAAGTTGTTTGCTTGAACCTCCTGGTCCAAAGGCCAATAGCTGCACAAATTATTTAGAAAACGTGCTAATTTTTCTTCACATTTTCAAATCTAGCCTACGGCACTAGAAAATTCCGATTTTTTTAAAAACAATGTGCAACAGTTACTATTTTGGGGCGATCCAATTATATCCTCAGCAGGGCGATGTTGTGTGTCATAAGTGGTGAGATGTCTGTCATTGAGAAGAATGTTTGGGAAGTGTTTTTGATAGTTGAGTTCCCGAGATTGTGTAGGGTGGAAGAAACGCATTTCTGGCCATGGGGAAAATGTCTGGATACGTAGATCCGGGTGGTCAAGGAAAGTGTTTGGGATGTAAAAAGGTTTAATCAGTTGTCGCGGGTTGTTTGTTCTCCGTCGGGACTTCACCGAGACAAAACTAACACATCATTAGTCAGTCGATGGACGCACCACGGTGTGGCCCTGAGCTGGCAACGTACGTCACTGCCACTGAACGCTCTCTCAGGCATATTGTCTGCTTTTGCAAATGGGATATGACCCTGGAAGTCGATTTTCCCATGCTTCCCTCTAACGGTTCTTATGTTACCAAGTTGACGCCTCGTGAGGGTAAATACCAAAGGCGGCGCCCTTTTGAAACGTGTGGGGCTTTAAAACTACGTTCATGAAATGTATTGCTGTGTCAATGTCATGAAGGGCCGGTTGTGAAAAGGAAGCAGCCACACCAGATGCAAAATATATATTAGAGATTTTTTTGTATGAGAAGTAGATAAAATAAAATTACCTGCTAAATGCGAAAACGATTTGAGTGTTTGAGAGGGCATTGTTGTGATAGGCTATAAATGAATGAAAGTTTGATGGAAACATGGATACATGAATACATAAATGGGGAATAGCTGAGAAAGGCTAGTTCATGTTCCGTTTAAATCATTCACAGGATTATGGAGATGTTCGGGTTGACCAGGGCTTTGCTTGTCATGTGCGCCCTGGGTGGGGGCGTCTTTGAACTGACGGGGGGAATCCAAGGCGCAGACACTGTTAGACTCTGCCCCAAGGCCCAGCAAGGGAGATCATACGTCTTCGAGTGTTCAGGGACAACTGCAAGTACTGACAGGTGAGCGAACCATGCCGTACTTTAACGGGAGGTGAACACATTAAACTATTACCTGAAATTAACGGGAGCGGAGCAAATTAAAAATTTTCCATGACATTAAAGACAGTTGAAAAATGTTAAAGTATTCACTAAAATTAACGTCAGGTGAACACATTGAAAACTCCCTCATTTCCATGTTTCATCCTAATGCCACATTTCATCTCACTGCCAAGTTTCATCTCACAGCCAAGTTTCATCTCACTGCCAAGTTTCATCTCACGGCCAAGTTTCATCTAACTTCTAAATGAATTTCATCTCACTTCTAAATGAATTTCATCTCACTTCTAAGTTTCATCTCACTTCTAAGTTTCATCTCATTGTAATGTTTCATCTCACTTCTAAGTTAGTTTCATCTCACTTCTAAGTTAGTTTCATCTCACTTCTAAGTTAGTTTCATCTCACTTCTAAGTTAGTTTCATCTCACTTCTAAGTGTCATCTCGCGTCTAAGTTAGTTTCATCTATCTCACTTCTAAGGTTCATCTACTGGCAAGGCAGTCACAACAGTACATTGTTTGAAATCGGGCGATGCTATTTTGAGGACACAATCTGCAAGACTGACGACCCGGCCAAATTCAACATCACCAATTTACCAGATGGTCGCGAGTTTAAGAGCTTACTGATCTTTCGGAACGTTTCGGAATCCGACCGGGACATGATCATCAACTGCAGTGTCTGGGACATAGACTACTCGGATGAGAAAGAAGTGGTTGACGCGTGCCGTCTGACTCTCTTCAATCCGGGGGAAAAATCCGTTGTTCTGGGGAAACCAGAAAATCAACTTAACTGCGTGTCCGGCACGGAGATATCGTACAAGATCAACTGCTCCGCGAATATGTTCACGACCGATCCGGATATAAGCCTGTACGTCGGCGACGTCAAGCAGAAGGACGGATCTTCAATGTCAAGCACGGAGATACAAGGCGGGAAGAGGTATTATTGGAGGACCACGTTGTTCGTTCTTACGTTGAATCAAAGCGACCAGGGGAAGGCGATCAGATGTATGGCCACCGAGAAGCTGCCCAACAGCCCGCCTTTAATTGACCAGTTTGACATACGTCTCCCTCAGATTACGAGACAGCCATACTTCACCAACTCCTCGGGAGTCGCACAAGAGAGGATGATGACCCTCGGGAAAGGTCAGAATGAGAGAATCGAATGTGTTTCCCCCATGTCTACCATCTACATCACGTGTTCCGGGGCGGGAGTGCAGCCCGTGACGCAGTCCTGGACCCAATCCGACTCGGCGTCCCTGACACTGAATGGCAGCAAGATAAACAACAATGCCATCTGCTACTGCCAGACATCTTACCGAGGCCAATGTGCCAACGTCACGACCTATCTGATCATCTCATCCCCAGGGTCCGGCTCAGCTAAAAACTCTCCTAACTTTGCCAAATGGTCTCCTTTATTTTACGTCCTGGCGGCGGTTATTTCTCTTATCTTCGTGACGATTATTTTGGGAGCTTCCGTGTATTTTTACAAGCACTGGAAAAAGCTGGGCTTTTGCCCACTCGAAAAACCGAACCACTACGATTATATTGACCCCAAGCCCGAAGGGGGCTATAAATACCAAAACGTTGCCCCGAAAGACTCGGAAAGCCACATTCAGAGGGAAAGCTCAGTAAGCAGTGACGGTGGCGGTGTCTTCCAGTCCAACTTTTCTGGGCCCCCAATCGACCTCCGTCAACCCGATGCTTCATGGGAACCAAAACCAGGGTTTGGGGACGACTGCGTCACACGGTGCGTCTCCTTTCACCAGAACGACCCCGCCCCTCCACGCTGCGGACTTCCGGCTAAGGAAACGAGTGGGAGAGAAGCCACAAGCAAAACTAGTCCGGAAGACGATCGAACGTACGTGGAGCCCGTGGACGTGTACGAAACGAACATCCCTTCTGAGCCGTCTTTAGGGGCGGTCGGCATGACATCAGGGGACCAGTATGGGACAGACGAGGCTGCAGACGACACGAGCCACCCTCCCAATGACCTTTCCCTGGGACCGGATCCAAGCCGTGGCAGTGAATGGACGTACACAAATTGTTTCAGCGACGTATCCAACGACTACAACGTGAACCCAGAGCTTGAGAACCTGTATATTGAGCCGTCCTCGAGGGCCTCGTCTGTGGACGACGTCAACAGGGCCGAAGAGGAGTATTTGATAAACCTCCTGAAGCTTGATGCTGAAGCTTAGTGGCATTATGCGCATAGTTTGAAGGTTCGGTGCTATATCCATAGCTAGAGGAAGCATGGCCTGCAGAATATTAGAGGCACATTAGGACAATGTGTGCTAGATTCACGTAAGAATATTTTGATGTCATCCTGGGTGGTAGAGGCACATCAGAACAATTAGATGCCCGACACCATGACAAAGGCACATTAGGACACATGATGACCTCCTGAGTGTTGCGATCCCTTGGTGCCCTGCAGACAAGTAAACATGGTATAACTTGGTGCCTTTTTCAGTGACAGAGGGGCATTTAAATCATTTAATGATGCCCTCCGGAGGGCTAGAAGCACATTGAGACAGTATAGTTCCCCTATATGGCTAGTAAAATCAGCCTTATTCTATTCGGAGGGAGAGTCCTATGTTAGAAACATGTTGTATGGGTCAGCTCAGCAGATGGAGCTGGTGGCCCATTTCCTAGCCGGGGTCTTAAGAGAGTAATCTCAGACCTTCACCAGAAATGTGTGTTAGTTAGTTCCCCTGAGAGGAACAGGCAGATTTAAATCTCTTGGTGCCCTCCAGATTGCCAAAGAAACCTTGTGGGTTAGACAGTTCTAGAAGGACTTTGAAATAATGGGGAGCCCTTCATGATGCTAGAATGACATGATGTCCTTCACATTATTAGGACCTTTGGGGCGTAACACAACTTCGCGTCATAATAAGTGAATTACTTTTGTCTGTCCCTCATTTGGACGTTAATTGAACTGTACGGAAAAGAACCCATAAATGGATAAACATATGTTTGTCAGATTCATTTCCATAATTATCCAGCTCAATGGAATATTTGTTTTTTTAAATGTTGGTCACCCTATTACAGAAGGCATTGCTTCGGTACATTAAGACGACATAATAGCATTATACTAGAGTGCAATTTGATGAAGTCATTGTTTGATGAAGTTCAATAATATTTACAAGGTCTCCTGACAGCTTATATACAATGTATTTAAACAAAACTATGCAATCCTTGTTCAAATCAATTTTATCATAGACAAGTCAGTCCAAGTCATTTTCATCATAGACTGTCCAAGTCAGTTTCATATTAGACAGTCAAGAGATTCATCTCGTAGACCAATTTTCAACATGGTAAAAACAATTATGGGCTGTAATGATTACGATCGCACCAAAATCGTAGTGCCACGAGTACTGTCTTAAGACAATACTGACTGTAAAGGAGGTAGCGATGGATTTATCTCCACAATCATCACAATCATCTGTAAATTGAATGCTATCAAAATCATAGGTGTATTGAGTGCTATCTTACCACAATCATAACAATTATGATTGTAATTAGCGCTAATTTGCCACAGTTGCGACGTCGTCCTTTGACTCCATGTTCAATGTTTGGAAGAGCTGCTCTTTTTTTAAACAGGTGAATCTCGGCATGAGAGAAAGTGAAAGTCGGATATCTCAAACATAAAACGCAAGTCTTTTAGCGTACAATATTTGGACTAAAAAGTCATTCTGCTGAAAGAATAAACATAATAAGTTTAGAAAAGAGGTTTTTCCCTGGCCTGTCCCGGCCAGACTTTGATTTCTGAAAACAAAATCTATTTTAATGTTATTTTTTAAAACGTCTATTTCCGGCTTGTTTTATAGTTGTAGTTGCAATTGCAATCCTGTTGTTCGCTCCCCCACCAGTGCATGGGGCATCCTGTACATAGCCCCCGACCCCCCCTCCCAACCGGTGCATTGGACACAGACACATCCTGTACTAGGCCCCCCCCCCCACCGGTGCATTGGACACCAACACATCCTGTAGTTCGCTCCCCTACCGGTGCATGGGACATCCTGTACTTAGCTCCCCCTACCGGTGCATTGGAGACGGGCACATTCTTTCCGATCAATTCCATTGTTGTTGTTTCCCGCTCTGTTTGCAGACTTCCCTTTTAATTTAACCCGTGGTCTTCCCCCGTCTTTCTATGGGTCTGTGGATTCCAGGACAGAATGATAAAAGTTATATTTGAGTTTGCAAGGTGAATGTAGAACCCAGCTCTTTCCATCTCAGCATGGTATGCTCCCCGGGATCACGTCAAAATCCTCCCCCAACCCCCCCCCCCACACACACCTTCCCACATGGTCGTTCTATTTCGGATCTTTTTAAAACCATTTTATATGAAGGGTTACACACAGACGATATCCAAATGCAGCGATTCTCAGCCTGTGGGTCGCGACCCCTTTGTGGGTCGAATGAAACTTACACAGTGGTCACCGAAGATCATCGGAAAACACGTATTTATGAAGTAGCAACGAAAATAATTTAATGGTTTTGGGGAGCGGGGTGCTCACAATATAAGGAACTGTATTAGAAATTTTGAGAACCATTAGCTTAATGTATGCTTTTTTTATTTAAAGAATGAAGTAATTCTGTTGCAGAGCTCCAATGGCTTATCTAATCGTTAGATGAACATGGGTGAATATTTGGTGAGCTTTACTGACGAGGATAGAACAACTTTATTTGTATATCATTTATATTCATATATGTTTATTTATAAATATATGTCGTGCCATTCAAACGCTCTCCTAACAAAGGTGTACGCAAGCCCATTGTGTACTTCAGCTCATTGTGAACACCAGCTCATTGTGTACACCAGCTCAATGTGTACTTCACCTCATTGTGTACATCAGGTCATTGTCTCCATCAGGTCATTGTCTCCATCAGCTCGTTGTGTACATCAGCTTATTGTGTACATAATATAATTGTATATACAGCTAATAGTGTACACCAGCTTATGGTTTACATCAGCTCATTGTGTGCACCAGCTCAATGTGTACATAAGCTCATTTTGTACACCAGCTCATTGTGTACACTAGCTCATTGTGTACATAAGCTTAACTAAAAACAAATAAGCTGAAATGGTCAAGGTCGCCCCTACTCAAGCCCAAGTTTCAAAGAATGATGAAAGATATACATACAAGTTTCAAAGAATGATGAAAGATATACATACAAGTTTCAAAGAATGATGAAAGATATACATACAAGTTTCAAAGAATGATGAAAGATATACATACAAGTTTGAAAGAATGATGAAAGATATACATACAAGTTTGAAACAATGATGAAAGATATACATACAAGTTTGAAAACGATCATATATATCTTTAAACATGATGGTATGTTATAGATGGTGTGAATGAAAATTATGGTATGTTATGGATTGGTGTAAAATAAATAAGTATGTTGCAGATTGGAGTAAAATAAACAAGATTGGTATGTTGTAGATTGGAGTAAAATAAAAATGATGGTATGTTATAGATTGGTGTAAAATAAACATGTTGTGTTATAGATTAGTGTAAAATAAACAATGATATGTTAAAGATTGGTGTAAAATAAATATGATATCATGTTTTAGATTGGTGTAAAATAAATAAGATGGTATGTTGCCGGCACCCACTTGATGGCCCGCGAAATAACGAAATATTTTGTATTGTTATTCTTTTCTTAATAGCTTTCCCTCCGTCCTACTCCTCTTTCAACCTGTATCAGCTTTTCATAAAATATTATGGCCCGCACAAGTTTTTCATAAAGTATTACGGCCCGTCCTACATTTTGAGTTGTGCAGGCCTGTTATAGATTATGGGAACTAAACATAATCGTATATTATGATGTGAAATAAAAATGATAATATGTGTTGATGTGAAATAGACATGATGGTATGTGTTGATGTGAAAAACACATGCTCGTATGATGGTGTGCTACGCATATGATGAGCAATAAAGGTGACAGGTTTTGGAATTCTCTTTGTTGAATGTTGGATGTATAACAAAAATGTTTTTGCACCATATTCATATTGTATAATAAACATTATTATAGTAGAATTTTTCTCTATGTTTCTCATTATTAGTAAGACTTAATAAATGTACCTAACATAACATAAAATTCCTACCACTACTTAAATGACTGCATCCATTGTTACGGCTATTTTTAATGAAAATGCCTACCGGTACCTAAATGCCTACCATTAGCTTAATGCCTACCATTACCTAAATGCCTACCATTACCTAAAGGCCTACTATTATCTAGATGCCTACCATTACCAAAATGCCCACCATTACCTAAATACCTACCATTACCTAAATGTCCACTCTTACCTAAATACCTACCATTACCTAATGCCTACCATTACCTAAATGTACAGCATTACTTAAATGCTCCCATTGCCCAAATGCCAACCATTCCCGAAATGCCTACCCTTACCTAAATGCCTACCATTACCTAAAGGCCTACCATTATCTAGATGCCTACCATTACCAAAATGCCCACCGTTACCTAAATGCCTAGTATTATCTTGATGCCTACCATTACCAAAATGCCCACCGTTACCTAAATTCCTACCATTATCTAAATGCCTACCGTTAGCTCAATGGCTACCATTACCTAAATGGCTACCATTACCATTACCTAGATGTCTACCATTACCTAAATGCCCAGCATTACCTACATGCCCACAATTACCTAAATGTATACCATTTCCAAATTCCGACCATTTAAAAAGAAAAAACATGACTTAACATTTGCCAACTTTTGCTTTGAGCCACAACTATTATTTTTCTTTTTGTTTTAACTCAACTTTTCTTTTTTCTAAGATCACAACATCAAGCATCCCCAATGTTTGCTCATTTACATCACCTAATTGGGACCCATTCGTTGAGTGCTCATTTGATTGGCTCATTGGGACCCATTGTGTGTTCATTTACATCGCATAACTGGGATCTATTATGTGTTCATTTACATCACATAACTTGGACCTATTATGTGTTCATTTACATCGCATAACTTGGACCTATTATGTGTTCATTTACATCGCATAACTTGGACCTATTATGTGTTCATTTACATCACATAACTTGGACCTATTATGTGTTCATTTACATCGCATAACTGGGACCTATTATGTGTTCATTTACATCACATAACTTGGACCTATTATGTGTTCATTTACATCGCATAACTGGGACCTATTATGTGTTCATTTACATCACATAACTGGGACCTATTATGTGTTCATTTACATCGCATAACTGGGACCTATTATGTGTTCATTTACATCACATAACTGGGACCTATTATGTGTTCATTTACATCACATAACTGGGACCTATTATGTGTTCATTTACATCACATAACTGGGACCTATTATGTGTTCATCTACATCACATAACTGGGACCTATTATGTGTTCATTTACATCGCATAACTGGAACCTATTATGTGTTCATTTATATCGCATAACTGGGGCCTATTATGTGTTCATCTACATTGCATAACTGGAAACTATTATGTTTTCATTTACATCACATAACTGGGACCTATTATGTGTTCATTTACATCGCATAACTGGGACCTATTATGTGTTCATTTACATCACATAACTGGGACCTATTATGTGTTCATTTACATCACATAACTGGGACCTATTATGTGTTCATTTACATCGCATTACTGGGACCTATTATGTGTTCATTTACATCACCTAATTGGTACCTCACCTTAAGAAATACAAATCAAACCTTGGACATCAAATAAGGACATTGACTGCATGAACCACCATCACGGGATTTTAACGTTGTGAACAAAGAGCTCTTGAAGGCATCACATGCAAGGGTGTACGAAAAAAAAAAGGGGGGGGTGAGTTAGAAGGGGTGGTCTGCCCTTAGCGGCCCTTTTGCCCTTTTATGGAGGGGCGGCATTTTCGGCCATCAGAAGAGTTTCTTTGGTAGAAGAATCGGTTAAAATCTTGGCCCGCACGCGGGCGACAGTAACCCCACCTACACCAGAAACTACATCCCCAATGTATTTGAGACCCCCCCCCCCCTAATCATTTCAGCGTCTACTTGGGCCCCGCTCCTATGCGTTTAAATATTGATATAACTTATTGGGCCCCCCCTTCCATAATAAAAGAAAAGTCACTAGGGGCCCCTAACTAATTTCCGTCCCGAACAACACAGCTTCGTAAAAATTGGTTTCGAACAAACTGACTTCGTACATTTCCAGATACGGTAATGCTAAGAGGATGCAGGTTTATGGTAGAGTGGGTGTCAGGGAGGGTCTAGACAACAGTCGTGTTGCTATGGCAGAGAGTCTCCAACCATACTTATGGCACTTACGAACGTTTCTGTGTTACACATTAATGGTGGCCATCAGTAGAGCGACACCGGATATTGTCACTGTATTTATGTTTTTTTCCTACCACTCAGGTGCTATTAATAGAATCAGAAAGAAGAATAACTCAAGATAAAGTAATAGTGTAGCTGTGACCAAGACAAATCACTGTTCCTGTCCCTTGTACAGTATACAATTTATACCAATGATAGCCACGGCCAAAGCAACACTGTCCAGTATACAATTTATACCAATGATAACCACGGCCAAAGCAACACTGTCCAGTATACAATATGTACCAATGATAACCACGGCCAAAGCAACACTGTCCAGTATACAATATGTACCAATGATAACCACGGCCAAAGCAACACTGTCCAGTATACAATTTATACCAATGATAACCACAGCCAAAGCAACACTGTCCAGTATACAATTTATACCAATGATAACTACTGCCAAAGCTATACTGTTCTGTATACAAAATATACCAATGATAACCATAGCTTAAGCAACACTGGCCTGTATACAATATATACCAATTATAGCCATAGCCCAAGCAACACTGTTCCATCCATTAAATGTGCAGATTATACCGCAAATTAGTAACAAGTTTTATCAGTTGGTGCAATGAAAATTTTCTCCAGCTGAATGTCTCAAGAAAACAAAATAAAATTTTAATGGCTGTCGATGTCCGGAGTTTGAATCACCCTATTTCAGATCTCACAATAAACAATCAAAGTCCTGAGCAAGAAGACATATAGGTACCTAGGTGTCAAAACTAATGATAAGCTGAATTGACAAAAACACGGCCAAATAGTGCATACAAAATTCCAGCAAAGACTTTACTAGCGTAAAAAATTGTACAATTTCGGCGTAAACAAACAAATTATTAACTTATTCTACAGTGCGACAATTTGAAACTTACTAAACTTCAGTATTACATGCTGGTGTGGGAAGTCATCGTCTGACATTAAAAACGATATATAGACTGGTCAAGAAAGCTAGTAATATCACACGAACTAAAGTTCCTTGACTTGAGGAACTATTTGAAGAAAAATATAGATGCCACGTCCCACCCACTTCATCACAGATACCTAAGATCGCATCCCACCCACTTCATCACAGGTACCTACGATCACATACCACCCACTTCATCACAGGTACCTAAGATCACATCCCACCCACTTCATCACAGGTACCAAAGATCACATCCCAAACACTTCATCAAAGATAACTAGGGATCACATCTCAACCACTTCATCACAGATAACTAAGATCACATCCCACCCACTTCATCACAGGTACCAAAGATCACACCTCAACCACTTCATCACATATAACTAAGATCACATCTCAACCACTTCATCACAGATAACTAAGGTCACATCCCACCCACTTCATCACAGATAACTAAGATCACATCCCACCCACTTCATCCCAGATATCTAAGATCACATCCCACCCACTTCATCACATATATCTAAGATCACATCACACCCACTTCATCACAGATAACTAAGATCACATCCCATCCACTTCATCACAGATAACTAAGATCACATCCCACCCACTTGATCACAGATAACTAAGATCACATCCCATCCACTTCATCAGATATAACTAAGATCACATCCCACCCACTTGATCACAGATAACTAAGATCACATCCCACCCACTTCATCCCATATAACTAATATCACATCCCAACCACTTCATCACAGATACCTAAGACCACATCTCAACCACTTCATCACAGATACCTAAGACCACATCTCAACCACTTCATCACAGATACCTAAGACCACATCTCAACCACTTCATCACAGATAACTAAGATCACATCCCACCCACTTCATCACAAATAACTAAGATCACATCCCACCCACTTCATCACAGAAAGCTAAGATCACATCCCACCCACTTCACAACAGATACTTAAGATCAGCTCGGTCGGGCGAATCCTTCCTCGTAAATTAGGACCGAAAAATATACAAATTCGTTTGTTCCTCAATCTGTACGAATTTACGAGGGTGCCACCCGAGCGGTTACCAAATCTAAATGATCACTAATTTAATTCATTCTTTTTACTAAAGTAGTTGATCGATGGCGGATTTCTATGCTATAGAAATACTGTAGATGCCTTGTTTTCAAATTTTTATAATGTTTTCTTGGTCTTTATTTGTGTGCTGAAAATAAATATGTATTATACAATGTAATTTGAAAAAGTCCATTTATTTGGCATCAATTTTAACAAATCTTAAATTATATTTACATTTATTTGTGATATTCCTGGCACATAAATGTACGGACTTGTTTAAAGTTATGTCTGATCAATGTTTTTGTCACATAATTGTAGGGACTTGTTTCATCTTATGTCTAGTCAATGTTCTTGTCCCATAAACTTAGGGACTTCTTTAAAGTTATTTCAACTCAATGATCTAGTCACATAAACACATGAATGTAGGGGACTTGTTTCATCTTATGTCTAGTCAATGTTCTTGTCACATAAACTTAGGGACTTCTTTAAAGTTATTTCAACTCAATGATCTAGTCACATAAACACATGAATGTAGGGGACTTGTTTCATCTTATGTCTAGTCAATGTTCTTGTCACATAAACTTAGGGACTTCTTTAAAGTTATTTCAACTCAATGATCTAGTCACACAAACACAT